CATTCTTAAAATTCAGGTAGCACACTGGGCTACATACATGTAGGTTCAAAAATAGGTTGCCCCAAGTAGAATTTGGTTGCCTGGGGCAACTGGGCAACCAGGTATTTTGCACGCTGTGCTGCAACCAAAATTTCTGTAAAAAGAACTAGGGTATCCACCACTAAGCCGACTTACCGGAATAACCAGCTGGTCATTGGCCAGGAAGACCTTGTCTGCCTCGGGGGTGCACGGCCCATTGGCACCTTCAGCAATGATCTGAGAACAAAACATTAGGTCATAATCAGAATAATGCTCTCAAAGGAGACATCAGTAATAGATTTAAATGATGAGGCCACACTGACTTGATTATATGGATGACATCCATCAATTTTTGCCTGTTTTTAAGAAAAAAGTATCAAACCACCCAATCATACTGTTTTTTGGTGTACTTCAAGGATGACAGACGCCGGAAGAAAAAAAAGAGTGAAAGGAAGGGAAGCAAGGCTCAAATGGTAAGTATTTGGACCATCGCACACCGGGGCATGCCCCTACTCTTTTTCAAAAGGTGTGGTGTGTTCTTTAACGTGCATGGGGTGTGGCTCTCCCCAAACACGGGACCTCCATTTAACGTCCTATCCGAGGGACATCCCTAACCAAAGCTAGGTACACATTTACACCTGAGTTAAGTGAGGAAAGTTGTGTTAAGTGCCTTTCCCAAGGGCCCAAGTTCTGCGACAACGTAGGATTTGAACCCGGAACCTCTTGGTTCAAGGCCAAACAAACTGCCGTTATGCCACACGACCCCACTGAATGTTACAAAACTGCCTAAAGCAGTTTACTGGTTATGCAAAACAACCAATGCAACCAACCAAAGAAACAAACAAAGAAACAAACAAACCCCTACCCTGGCCTTGATGAGCGGAGCGTTGTGCTTGTTGATGACCTTCTCCCCAGCAGCAGGAATCAGGATGTCACACTTCTCATACAGGAGGTTTCCCTCGTACGTCTGAGCTCCTGGGAAACCCATCACTGTGCCGTTGGCCTACACAAGGATTCAGGTATTCAAAACCTTGTTCTTCCTATAGAACTATTGTACAGGGAAACTTATTGCCACTATGTACAGTAGAGGTATCCTGATTAGATAGCTTTAAACAATGATTGCGAACCCCATCACAGTACCGTTGGCCTAAACAAGAATGTATTTAAGAACAAGTTTTTCCTAGAGAACTATTGTAGAGTGAAACTTATTGCCACTACGTAGATGTACAGTAGGGATATCCTTATTAGATGGCTTTAAACAATGATTGCAGTTATAATTAGATGTGCAAAGACAAGGTGTAACAGGTCATTCAGTTTAATATAACCAGCTTCTGTCACATTGTGCATGTGTGAAGCTGGTGTGTTACGCCAAAGGGTAGTTGTACCGTAGTTATACAGATACAGATATACATGTACAAGGAGAGATGGTATCCAAAAGCTTCGAATCCCGGCTGTTGTTGCTCACCCAACATGCACGCTACTGTAAACGCCGCAGTCCTTAGGACTGGAAGTTAAACAGTGATCTACTATCCATTGTACTTGTCGTAAAGAGCTAGGATAATTTCCCCAGTACAATGAACCTGTAAATAGTGTCTGTCTTCTTTGTTATGACCAGTGTGATGTTAGCTCTTATGTGAGCTAAAATAGGATCGACATCACTTTCCTTTTCTCTTTAAGCCAAAGATGTGAACATACCAGTTTCCACTCCTCTAGTTCCTTGGGGTCAATGCCCTCCGGGTTGAAGATGCTACCATCGATCTCCAGCACACCGATGCACTTGGCCCCGTAACGGTGCAGGTACCGCATGCTGTGGAGACCCACGTTACCAAAACCCTGCAAACAAGTGCCAGTAGCTTAGTTAGATGCATATGTCTTTGGTGTAACAAGTTGAGGATGTCAGCAGATTGAGAACGACTGTTTTATGTGCAACGAATCGAACACATCAGCAGAATGTACTACACCTATGCAAACCATTATGTTATGCATGGAACCTTGTCAGAACGCAACATTTAAGGTCATATTCTCGTATCTAAGGATGACATCCCATCTATAGTTTTGAAACATGTTGGGAAAGATATCTACGCCTTTTCACTTCTGAATCCAAACATACAAACCTAACGTAAATTAGCACCACCCAAAACAATACTTCCATCCCGGAGGTAACAAACCTGCACAATGAAGGTTTTATCCTGGAAGCCTGGCGGGAGCCCGACTGCACTCATGTAGGTGGCTGTGAGATATATCAAACACAGATGTGAGACCCAGCAAACAGGTGTGAGACCCAGAAACAAGAACAAAACCCAGTGATACTACAGTAACAGTTTGATGAACTGATTATTTCCTACTCCAAATACCCTTAACTGAAGGGTTTAAAATTAAAAGGCTCACCTTCATTGATGAAGTTTTCAATCCCATGAAACACTCCCTGTATCAAGAGAACATACGCCATGCAGTTACTCTGAAATTTGGCACTCCCATACACTTGAGTACGTGTGTAGAGGTGTATGTAAGTTGTTGACTTCATGTTAGATTACATGAAAGTTGCCTTCTTCGTATTGGATGACAGCAAGCCAGACATTAGTTTTGCATAATGCCAGCATTGACAATTAGAGAATTTGAGAAAGCAGCAAAAAGCAAAGCATGAAATATATATTTATAGCCTTTGTGATCCAATATTTGTACCACATATAAATAATCAGTAGATCAATACTACATCTGTAACTGTTACAGTTCTACACCATGCAAATAACTACGACACATCAGAGACATGCTGTTACCAAGAACGGCAAAAGAAAAAAGAGCAGAAAGTATGAGGATTATATTGTGATGCAATCCTCCTACAACAGTTACAATTACTGTACCAATTCTACTCCATGCAAATAACTACAACACTTCAGAGACATACTATTAAACAGAAGGGTAAAGGCAAAAAAAGGACAGAAGGTATAAGGTTTGTATTGTGCATAGCAAAGTCGTTCATTCACAACCACTTGTTTAAAAAGTTTTGATACCACCTGTCATCTTTATTAGAGCAATTATGACTGGTTCATGTCAATTAAGGCAATTATGGGCCAGTTCTTATGAAAATGACAGTCATCGAAACATTGGCTCTTGTTGAGCTAGTGAATGTGAATGAAGAACTTATTCAATCACCCATCAATCTGATGAAATTATTTACAGAGGTATGTATTGCGTCTAGGATATACAGTAATCTTTCTACGACAGATGCAAATATCTAATCTACATTCTTCAGACATGCAGTTAACGACAGACAAAAACAGAGGAGAAAGTTCTTGATTGATGAATCACCACGTTAGCGGACCTGCCTTAAGAAAAAGGACCGTTAAAAGCAATAAAGAGAGATATGATGATGGTGCATGCACGGGATTGGTCAGGGGCTGTACGGTCTACTCACACGGCCCGTCGCGGATATTCTCCCGTGGATGCCGCCCTGTGAAATAGGCTTCCCGGTGACGCATGCGTTGGCGTTGATATCATTGTGGCCTGGAAGTCACAACCGTTTGAACCAGCAGTGAGACACACAATCTTTGACATAGTGATACCAGTAATGCATGGAGTGTTTCACCTGTGCTGTGTGTTCCAGAAGTTTTTGCATGTGAAGTTTTAATGTGATTCTGTTCACCATTAGTGGCACACCAACAATGTATGTAGCCTGCTAAGGTAGAAGTCTTTTCAATAGACCCATTTGACTTTCACGGATCGAATAAACTGCATGCTCACGTCACAGGGGGGACATTTCGAAAGAACGTCGTTCTAGAACGCTGCAGTCGAACGCGGCTTGCGTTCACGGTGTCCCCCATGGCAGATCATTTTTTTACTAAAAGGTAGGTAAGTGTCTATTTTCTTGGTAATATATGTGGAAATGACAGGAAAACAGGCACCAACTTTGTATCGTGGCATTCTGTGCAACAATTTAAAGTTATTTTGTTCTGTGATGTATGCAGTTTATGCGATCCATGAAAGGAACTTTCAAAATGTCCCCCGTGACGTAGTTTCTATTCGAAATGTCCCCCCTGTGACATATAAAGCAGTTTATGCGATCCGTGAAAGTCGAATGGGTCTATTTACATTCAACACTCCAAACTGCCAATCATAGGAAGCACACAGCACTGACGTTCCACACTCAACATTGTCTGGTCCATACACTGGAACTCGTGGCTCCCCTAGCTATAACTTACCCTGCCAGTGGCCGACACACGACCGTGTATGCCTCCCTGGGAGATGGGCTTGCCCGTTACACAGGCAAATGCATTGATGTCATTATGACCTATGATCAAGAGTTACACTTAAATGAGTGAACAACAACAATATAGCACTGCCAACAGTGTTCTAGCCAGCGTCCGTCATTACGTCATCTGATGGAATTTTGCTGCTCATGACATTGGCATGTAAAGATGTGGAAAGTGATGTCATTAAACTAAGCTTTAATCTACCAGCAAAATTTGCCACTCATATTGCAGACTCCCCTAGAATTGTTGCACCACACGACTGCAGCACTCGACATGATGTTACGTCAAACAAAATTGTGATGGAAAAAAATTCAGGCTGGCTAGAACACCGGCTGACACTTTCTTCAAGTTTACACTACATGCCAGCAGGGGTGGGCAAAAGGACATGCTCACAGTGTGACAATGGGACAGGAACAAGGTTTTCCATCTACCAACTTCAAGGATAATTCAAGTTGCCTCACAAGTCTACTGCATTATCTAAGTTTTCCCAACAGGTGTTAGCAATGTAAACAGACTCTCACAACTAAACGAGTGCTTCACAAGCAAACAATAAATGAAGTTACATACAATGTATATGGTGACCAAGAACATCACTGAAATGACTTCAACTTTGTCAGGAATGTTGCATAACAAGTTTCTTTGACAGGCAATTGACAGAACTAGCCCAATGGAGTTAACAGTTGTGGTTCTCTCCCATAAAACAGGGTCTTAGCTGACCAACTGTTAAACAGACAATGTTCTATGTTGAACTTGAAGCAAGATTTGGAGGGTTTGACTCTTGGCCTGACTTTCACAGGCCAATTTCCATGTCCACACAAGGAAAATAATCTTTTCCGTTGTTACACAAATGAATGTTAAAGATTATATAACAGAACAAACTTCCTAGACGAGCTGATCTAGCTAAAAGTTGTAATCCTTGCGACTAGCCTGAGTACCATCCTCGGTAGTTACTGCCAGCTTTCTTTTCCCTACAGTAACTACAGAAGATGGCTACCTTCTGACATCATGCCATCAGCCTGACTGCCCTAGCCTACCCTACCAGCTGTCTGCGAGTACGTATCCGCCATCCAGGCCATTTCACGCTCGCCTGTGCTCATGTCAGGGGCGGGGACATCAATGCCGGGTCCTGTGGAACCACAACACAGAATAATCCTCATTATCTGAAGTAGATACAGCGAACAAAAAACATACCCATGGTTTGTGAGAACGTGTCGGCCATCCAACTCATCTCCCGCTCTCCCGTCCCCATATCCGGCGCAGGGACGTCCAATCCCGGACCTACAGGTGTTAATTAGGGTTTTGTGATTGGTTGAAATGAAGGGAGCATCAGGACCAGCATCAGGATCAGGAAGTGTTAGAGGAATGTCATGTGGAGTAAGGTATTGCCATGGCCAGAGGTTGCATATTAAGATGAAGTGATATGCGGTATAGAAGATTGGGCGAAGGAGCATTGAGATGATGTAAGAATGTCAAAGGGTAGGGGAAGGGAAGAAAAAACAACTATTAGTTTAAATACTGGGCTAATTTATCCATTAAAACATGCTGAAACATTAGCCATTTAGTTGAAACTAAATCACTGCTAACAAATATTGTTCCCATGCCTTTGAAACAGATTACCAGGTGACCTATGTAAATGACTCATTATTAAATAACTATGAATTACGTTCACACTGATCAAGGGATAATGGTTGTTCTTGTGATTTAACTTCTTAGATTTTACGTAAAGGTAGTCCCATAGCATTTCTGAAGTTGTAGGGGTAGTGGGTTGTTAATCCACTGTGTCTAGGACACGGTATAGAAGGTGGAGCCCATCCCTCTCTTTCTTCCCCACAACCAAACTCAGGTACCCATTTTACACCTGGTTTGAGTGAGGAAAAGTCGAGTAAAGTGCCTTTCCCAAGGACACAATGTCTAGCCAAGAATGCTAGAGATGCAAACCGGGACTTTTCGATCTCGTCTTAGGAACTAAACAACACAATTTTAACATGACAACAGACAAACACACGTTCACACAAACCACCTTACCAATGAAGCCCTTCTTGGCAAGTTCCATGGTAAACCTCCGCGTAATCTTCTCCAACTCTCGCTCCTGACAACAACAAAGAAAAAACACCTTCCTTCACCCTACCAATTACAACCTGCTTATCCCCCTTCAAGTAATCTTACCCACATACCAAGAAATCCTTTCTTGGCGATTTCAACAGTGAATCGTCGCGTAATTTTCTCAAGTTCAGTCACCTACAGTAGGTAACAGAACAAACAGGGGAGGAGGGGAGAGAACAAGAACACTCAGTTACAACATAGAGGTATTAGTTACAACAGGACTCAAAATACCTCTTTGAAACTTGAAATTTGAGTTCTTTCAAGCTCAACTTTATAGACAATGTCTGAATTTTGCTGACAATATTTATAAAATTGGAGATATAGCCTGTGTGTGTTAAGATTTGTACAGAAATTTATTCTTTTGTCCATGTACTACAAATTCTTGGACAGAAGTAGGAAAATGCACATGAACTGTACAGTGCTAATGTTTTTGAAGGATGCCTGCCAGCATTGCAAGTGGCCAAAGGTACCTGGGAGTCTGTATCTCACTTGAATAACAGTTTTAGCTCTTATTTTTTCTGAGAACCCTTTGCTAACAACATTGAGTGTTTATGTCACATGTAACTCAAAAGCAGTGGGCTTGTTGTTCCATATTAATAAGATCGGTCAAAAATTGGCAAATCTTCATAATTTGTCTGAAAGAAAGTTTACAACGTTACATTTACAAGTATATATTACACGTACTAGCATTAACAACACAAGTGTGCATTGTACAATGTGCTTTAATTTTTTTGTGTTGGGAAATTCTGTCTGTCTGTACCATTACATTTTGAGGTACTGTAGTTGCATAGAAGTATTTGAGTCCAGCTTCGAAACATGTTATGTAAGGTTAGTTTCACGACCAAACTTGTCTCACTTGAATCAGGAAGATGCCATGCCTTGGGGGGAATTACAATCCTTTGCACAAACATAGCGGAGTAAATGTTAGATGGGGAAAGCCTAAATTCATTCATTCAATCTTTCGTTCATTCATTCAGTTCTTTTTAATATTCTGCAACAGTCATACAGGGCTCGAAATACAACACAAAAGCAACATAAGGAACACACTGGACACACTGAAACATCACTAATTTTGGATGACTTCCAACAGAGGACAACAAAAACACTGATACACTGCTGAAAACACAAGGACTTTCCAAGGCAGACTCTGCAATTTCTAACAAGGGGCGCATGCAACATGTTGAACAGATCAATACATCATTTTTTTTTTTTATCCCACACAAGTATAACATACTGCCCCTGGAAGAAACTTGAAGACATGTACTACAAAATATACAATTCATTTGTACTGTTTATTTTGTTGTCACGTTCTTGCAATAGCCTTCGGGCATGAATTTGCAATAAACTTCCTAAATTACATAGTATCAAAATAAAACTCCATTTGTACTACATAATTATTCATTTATTGTTAGAGGCTGACTTCACAACATTATCCAATACTTTTATCACTGTTTCAAGCATTAAAAACAGAATACACTAGCCAAGACGTTCTCAATTCGTCCTACTGAGAAAGGATCTCAATCACAGCAAAGGGGACCAAAAAGTGTCCTTCAAGACTTACAGAGAACTCCTTGGGATTGATCTTGAGTCCAGCTTTCGCTCCTCCGAATGGAACGTCTGAAGAAAAATACTTGTTAAGTTAGCTGGTAGATGCTGGCAAATTCAGAAATTTTCTCTCCTAAAAGTAATATTACAAAGTAACATAATTTTGTGAAAAAAATTTTTTTCTACCTTTCTTCATAATTAACACATCTTCACCATTACTGCGAGCAAGAGTACTTCTAGGAAAAACCTACATGTAACTAATGTTGTAACAGACGACTGTGTTACTTACCAACTACAGCACACTTGTAGGTCATAAGTGATGCCAGGGCCTTCACTTCATCAGCAGTGACATCCATGCTGTAACGTACGCCTGTACAGGGTAGAACAGGTAGATTATACATTAGATATTTACATGGCTCCAAAGTATACTGTGACTTCTTCTTCAGTGCATGTCAGTGCCCGGCACAATTTACTGACATATTTCGAGCCCAGTCACACACTACAGGAGTTTTGTGAGGCTGCCAAAAACACAACTGATCAGAATGCATAGCTTATGAGGCTTTAGGTCCACCAGTCAATATTCACTCATACAGACTGTCTGTCTGATTCTGTATGTAATTTAAGAAAAGTGTGAAAAATATGCTTATCCAACAATTCAATTTCGGCTGTATTGTTACATTGTGTACTCACACCAAAAACATAACCTAAGAATCTTATATATTTCTTAATGGAGGCAATAATAAATGATACAGACCTTTACAACACATACATCTTGTCTGATGTAGAAATGTGATCTCTCTCGTTAATCATGCACATGTGTATGCTGTATTTAGTCCTTCCACTGACAGTCATGTAACTTGTAAGGCCTGAGTATCAGCACATCTCAGATCAATGTTAGGAATTCACGCCGGGTATGTATGCACTGCCTTATAGGCCTTGTCCTCAAAAACTCAATAAATGACCTCACCAGGGTTACTCAATTGTGGGGGCAGTTTATTGTGGCATAAATAATTTGCCGAAGGCACCAGTTTTTCTACGTGCACTAAATCTGGGGTGCTCTTTACAATGAGGAACAAACCAAAAGTATCATACAAAGGGGTGTTAAATGGAAAATGTTTTTATTGCATTCTGGGGTTTCAAAACAATTACTAGTAGTAGTAGACAGTTGACAAAGGGATATTTTGAATAACTGAAGGAATGCAAAATTTGAATGAAGTAAAAATTTTAAAGAAATGATTTGGTTTCTCACCAGTTTTTAAGTCAGCATACCACTTACGCATTCTAAGTGGTGCAGGTGAGATCTGTCTGGTGCAGGTAATTTTCAATGCTACCTGCAACAGTGCAGGTATATGCAGAAAAGAAGTAATTTTGAGTCCTGGTCCCTATAGTCCTATAGGCCGTCATTATACACACCCCTACTTTGGTCCCCCCCTGACCTACATAATGTAAGCATCCAATTTCTGTCAACTGGTCTTCAAAATAGGCACATCCCTTTGATAGCTAGCCTCCTGTGCAGGCCTCCAGGCAGACAGGTGGGAGTTTTGATACTGCGTTTTGAATTTTTGATGCCTTCTTTTAATTGCTGGCCATCCTACAACCAGCCGTCCACTGGCGTCCAGTCCAGAGAAGGTTTGTACCCGCCACTAAGATGGCCGGCAATTAAAAGAATGTGTTAAAAATTCTACAAAACGCAGTATCAAAACTCCCACCTGCCCGGAAGCCTGCACAGGAGGCTACTTTTGACCCCATTCATACCAGGCTTCAAATATCACTACATTCTTCAAGCTGTTCCTTCTACCCTACAAATGCACTATAAAGCACATTGCAGTTTAAAAGCATCAAGCAAATGATCCCAATGATTGCTTCAGCTTGCTCAAAATGAAGGGATGGCTTTACTATGATGGAAACAATCCATTTCATGACATATGGCAAGAGCTTAATTAATTGATGGGTACCAATACCACAAACCATATACCACAGGTCATTATGCTGTTTGGGAGCATATAAATATAAGTTTTCCTGCTTTTTTTCCAGGCAAAAGCCAAAATACATGGATTTCATTGAAACAAAATCATGCTTTTGTACAGGGCTGATGTCAGGAACATGTACTTACAGTATAATTGAGATACATTTTTACGTTTCTGGCTGACATAAGGGTGGAATAGGATCAATAAGTCATCAGGTCAAGTATTGATCCATCTGTATGTTGAATACCTGTGTTAATTATATTACAGATTTCATTACTGGCAACACAGCTCGTCACTGCGAAATACTAAAATAAAGCCACGCCTACATCTCAGATGGATTTTATTTTCATTGTCACTACAACTTTCAAGTTCTATATGCAGAGCTCAATTCTACAATGAATCTACCTCTTAATCTTGCACACTTCAAGTTCTAGAATATCCCAAGCACTGAATATTTGGACAAGCAGGTCTGTGTGTGCCTTTGGAACATTTTGCATAATTCAATTACTGAATCCATGTGTATTCGTATCAGACTCCAATATTGAATGCTTTGCAAGTGGCATTTCAATATGTTCAAGATGTAATATTTTTGGATTGCTAAATACAATAGTGGTAATGCCAGAATGCAGCATAAGAATTTTGCTACTGAGGCTTGCATTCTGATAATTATATTTCCTGAATAATGGTTATGTAAAAATCAATAAGATATTGATTGAAAAGTACTGATCATGTACAAGCATCATAGATGACAAACCCAATAGTCTCTACTATTCTCCAATGAAGTAGTACAAGTGGCCAAATAGACTGAATAATATGCCAGACAAATTAGCCGGTCCAAGGAGTATAATTTGCAACCCACAGTTATAATACATTTGTACAACAGATCACATAAACCCAATGTCAGATGCCATAAACAAATTGGTACAATTAACATACAGATTCTACCATTTGCTTGCAAATGGTGTTGCCCTCTTACCCCTTTTCCTGGAACTAAATACATGTACATTGTATATAATCATGACGACCTTGACTGAGTGTTTCCAATAAACACATTTGACCTTGGCTAGGTCATGATCAGCTGGCTTGTTCAAATAGAATGGACTAATCCATTCTGAGATGGGGGGGGGTGGGGTGACAATTCATGTTCAAGTGTGATGTAGATGTTTTATGACTGAGTAGAAGCTCTTGTATGTCTAGTGATTCCTAATATATTGACCCCTTGTATAGTTAACTGGAAGCAACTAGTGACAACACAGACATCTAATATCTATGGGTGAATTAGTCATCAATTCATTAATTTTTGTGAAAGTTAAAACAAAATAGTACAAGCGAACACCAATTTTGATTTGAATTTCCAACAGCGTTATTTGCATTGAGGAAGGGGGGATTCCATATTTGTTAAGATAAAAGGCACATTGGTGACAGTGGTGAGATGGTTATGGTTGTCATTGATCTGTCATTCTATAAAAAGTAATAACACTTTCTGACATCTCACTGGTTCAAAGAGTCAGTGCATGCAATCACATAAGTATACCCAATATCGTCAACTTCATAAAAATATATATCTAACCCGGAAAAGTTAAGTCAGTATGACAGATGCAAATACCAGTTACAAGTTACTGTACCTTTTTACAAGGTCATTCTAGTATGTGTCAAGATTATTATCAAGATACAAAATGTATTACAGAATGTTTGTCTTTCTATGTCAGAATAGAATATAGTCAACAATGACTCAACATAATCTTACTACTCTCAAAGCAGAAGTTTAGGCTTCAGCTTATTTTTGACGAGTTTTCATGAGTTTTTATCGGGCTTTTTTTTCTGTTCCTTTTTTTTCTAAGCCGGACGAAACCTTACAAATGGGTACTGTCAAATACCACAAGATCTACTTGGAGATTATCAAGATACTTTGTAGTTGTAGCAATAGCAAGAATATAATTTATGGCAAAAAGTGTACCTCCTTTGCATGGCGTCCTATGTTGGCTGTGTTGTGCCCGGTAGCCCTCGATCATGACGAACTCTCCGTTGTCTCTCTTGATGGGGAAGGACACAGCCAGAACGTGGTTACAGGGCTTGATGATCTTTAGGATGCCCTCCACGCGTTTTCTCTTCTCTTCCACCGAACCTTTTCCCTTCATATCCTCCACAAGCTTATCCTTCACGATCTCCACCGACCTTTCGACGAATCCTTCCACCATGTGAAAGAAATTCGGGTCGTCTACCTCTTCATCGGACGCGCTAGAACACATTCTCTGAGCTTGCGAGGCCGCAGCCGGCATTGCCCTCCCCCCAAGGCCATTTTGGACCGCCCTCCCACCTTGACTTAAAACGTTTCCAACGAAAAGACGAAGCATTTTCTCCTGTCAGGGTCGACCGAAGTTACTGATCAAGTGAGAAGATATCTTGAAATAAAAACGGAGGCTTGAAAAGGAAGCAAACCGAGGAAAATTACGCAGAAGAGTGAAAAGTGCGGCCTTTCCTCGCGGATTCTGAAAACAACCTTCCAAAATGGAACGCCTGTGACGCAAGAAAGGAGGTGTGTCAGCCACGTGATCAGAACTAACCAATCATAAGATACATCTGGAAGGCGTACCTATGACGTCATAATCTGACGTTTTTCGGGTTTCCGTCCTTGGCACTTGTAGCTAATCTCCAAGCAGAGGTTGGTGGGGAAGATTGTGACATTTCTAATATGCCAAGGTTTTTGCTGTCGTGGGGGTAGCGACAGCATAAAAACTTTGCTTGGAGAGTACTTGTACCCTGGTATCCAAACCTATAGGCTTAATAATATTTAGTTGCGGAGTGTGTATTATTGTTACCTTCAAAATACCTGGGAACGGATAACCATGTACCAGGAAAAGTTGAATGATACGTGTTTTGAGTCACAAAACAAACTTGGTAAAGAATGCGAACTTCATCCTCAACCGGAAAACGTTGGTCAACATCCACGAATTCTAAGGGAAGGCAATATACTGCTAAGAAAACTGTGTGTCATTTGTTTGCTCGACATTTTGTAACGTTTAGAGGGAGGAGGTGGTGAAACAATGCTCCCAGCGAAAGTCTCAGGTACTGCAGCAAGGTAGCGTAACATTACTTCATTTCATTTGGTCATCGGCCATTGGTCGTTGAGTGATGGGAGCGAAAACATGAGCACATAATATAGCACGTATCTTAACACTGATTAGTTACTGATCATCTGTTAGGGAAAAATACGATGTCTCTGGCCGAAACTGCTGCTTCAAGTACACAATTTATTGTGGTAACCGGCGTTAGCCTGGAATCCATCCGTGAACGTTTTATCTCCGCTCCCTTCCTCCGCTCTGCCGGAAAACCGGCGTTACATTGTACTAGAAAATCAGAGTCACTCGCGAGTACGTATGTAGCTTGTTTTGGGACTAGTTGAAACGCTTCAAGTATGGAATGATGACGAAAATGTGCTAAGAAATGGCACTGTGACATCAAGTTATCAGACCAAGGATGTTTTGTGATCAGACAGATGGGGGGCCCCCAAGGGGGGGTCCCGACAACGCTCTACGCTAAATTTTGAGAGCCGGCTACGTATTACGCTGAATTCCGGACGCCTCTCTACGCTCTACGCTAAATTCGAAAGATTCCGAACGCACTATGCAGAACTCAATCACCTAGCAACTGCATGTTTGCGTGAAAACCTTTTGATTTATCATATGTAGAGGTGACATAACTTGAATTAAAAGTAGTAACCGGCGGTCACTTCCTTATACATTGAAAGTATAGAATACAAAACAGGGTATTCAGTATTACCGCAGGCACCAACTTGACCGCGAGTCGATCGCCCGAAGATCGGAGGGTGATCCGTGAATGGAGGCAACATGGCCGTAGCCAGGATTTTGAAGGGGGGGACTAACGAGCGCCGTAGGCGCGAGGTTCCTAGGGGGGTCCGGGGGCATGCTCCCCCGGGAAATTTTGAAAAATGAAGCTTCTGAAATGGCATTTCCTGCGTTTTTAGAGGGTTTCAAAGAAAAAAATCAAAGCTAACTTTTTCAATGACAAAGTGAACCGTTTTCCTACGACGGATTCCAGCCTTGCTGGTTACACGAATCAGTCCGTCTTTTAAAGAAAAGTCTCGGACCTTTAGATAAAAAGTGGACCAAAAAGTGGACCTTTGAGCCTTGTGGGGTTGTTGTCCGAAGGTAGAAAAGGCCGCAAACAATACAGCGTAATTTGTCAAAACGACTCAGCTGCCGATTGCTGACGGTTACCCATCACCCGCACAATGACGGGGATGACATTGCTCTTTTCGGGAGTGTCCTCCATTACCCTGGCCATTGATCAGCAATGATGTTCCCGCTAAGAAACGTCTTGAGGGCCCTTGGGCCTTACAAGTCATGTGGTTCTAAGGCCTTCTACCCTATTCATCTGTGGCCATCTGTGGCGTTTGGCCAATGGTCCTAGTGTACGTCACCGATGGTAAGGTCAATCTCATACCCAGCGCACTGTGGGATCATTCCCATGTGTTGCCTTGCTCTTGCGTATCGCTCTGGGAACAAGTCTAGTGGATTGTTCGATTGTATAGAAGGGGGTAGAGCAAGAAAGACCTAGAGCGCCGCG